GTTTAGAGGTTAAGGCTCATAGAGCTCTTAGACATTAGGGTTTAGGGTTTAGAGTTTAGAAGGCTCCGGCTCATAGAGCTCTTAGAGATTAGGGTTTAGGGTTTAGGGTTTAGAGGTTAAGGCTCATAGAGCTCTTAGAGATTAGGGTTTAGGGTTTAGAGTTTAGAGGTTTGGGTTTAGGCTTTCGAGATTAGGGCTTAGGGTTCATAGAGATTAGGGTTTAGGGTTATAGTTCTTAGGGAAGCAAGCAGTTTTCGGATTTAGGGTCACAGGGTTTGGGGTTCAGGGTTATAACTACGACGGCTACAGGCAGTTCTAGGGTTTAGGGTTCCAAGGTTTAGGGTTCAGGTAGATGTAGGGTCATAGGCACCTTAAGAGTTCATAGGGTGTAACCCTACTTCTCGACTCCTAAACCTTAAACCATAAACCCTCTCAGCTCAGCAGCCCAGTCCCAGCCCCAGCCAGTCCAGCCCAGCCCGAGCGGGGTACATTCTAAATTAATTCGCAGTGCCTCTGGCTTCTTTACATGAGCTTTCTTCGAAGACCTTTATAAAACACCCAACAAAAGCCACCCGTTCATTCAATGAACCCCTCTCTAAAATATGGGCAGGGGCTTTTTCCTACTGCCTAAGGAATCCTAAACCCTAAACCCAAGGGGAAGGTCCAAGGCACTCAATGAGCAGATCCTGTTTCGCGTTCAAGATCAGCTCCTGGGTGTCAGGGCGCAGCCGCCAGGGTCCAAGGTTTAGAGCTTTTCTGGTGTGCTTTGTTTTAAGTTTAGGGTTTAGGGTTTAGGGGTTTGATGACCCGTAACTGGCCCCAAACCCTACAAAATAGCAGGTGACGAGCCTGTAATTAGAGGGCCTAACCCCTAAAACACTAGGTCACTAGGTTTGGATCCCAGGTAGGGCTTGAGGGTTTAGGCGGTTTGAGAGTTTAGAAAGCCCCAATTTAGAGGCACCCGGTGAGACTTCGGCATTACGCCGTTATCTCTTTCGGGAATCATAGCTAGGTACACAGTGTCGATGTGTGTGTGTTTGTCTGTTTGATGCTTTTGCTGCAATCCCACAATTGTCACCATTGCTCGCCGCTGCCCTTCGCCCTAAACCCCACATCGTTTATTGATCGAAAACTGATTGCTGTGTGCTTCGGAAGCTGTATATCACGAGACGGCTTCGGCTGTGTGATGCTAATGTAGGGGCCTCAATAATTAGAAGAGGGCTTTGGTGTATATCCCAAAACAGTTAGGTTTAGGCATTTATTTAGGCACCTACATTACTTCCTCATTTCCGCCTTCCCTGCATTTTTTGCTGTTCTCCCGGAACCGGAAGACCCCAAACCCCTAAACCTGCAGACCCCTTAACCCCTAACCGCAAACCTCGAAACATCTCTAAACCCCTTAACCCCTAATGCTGAAGACCCTAACCTCTGAACCCGAAGACTTTGCGGGAAGTCCTGGAAGTTCGTCTTGTCCACGTCCACGCAGCTAGCGCAAGGAAGATGAGGCGCGCTATGCAGCTGTGCCCGCTTGATGCTATCCCGCGCTTTCCTGAGAGGCTTAATATTAAAGTTTGCTTCGGCGTTGGCCTAAACCCTAAACTAAACCCTAAACCCCTCAACACCTAAACCCTAAACCCCTGAACACCTAAACCCCTAAACACCTAAACCCTAAACCCCTAAACCCTAAACCGAGAGGTTGAGGGGGCTCCAATGGGTTCAGCATCCTGCCACTCCTTAAACGCCAACACGACCTGTTCCTGAAATTCGGTTTGAGGATGGTGCAGAGTTCAAGGCGTTCAGCTGCGATGCAAATTATAATGGGCAGTGTAGATGAGAACGAGGCATTTGTAAGGCCTGGTTCATATATGCTCTGAAATCGGGTGAAGCCTAGTAGTCCGAAGCTGGCAGGCATCGCCAGGTGCGTGTGCATGCCGCACTCGGTCACTTTCGCACTCTGGTCGAAGCGTCCTGCTCTCTCCTCCTGCGAGACGCTTTAAAGGCCTATAGGGCTTAAGTTACCTAAATAATGCATTACTGGGCTGTCAAAGGTCTGGTTAGTAACCCACTCTTTGGGTAACTGGAGCCCAGGGAAGCATCACAAAAGCTACAAAACCCTGACAGCCCTCCCGGCCGGCAAGTGAATTCCGACCCTGCTGTGCTTAGATACCGAAAAAGCCAAAACAAGCATGCATTAGTGCATGTGTGTATGCAGGTAGGTAGGTAGGTAGGTATATAGGTAGGCAGGCAGGCAGGCAGGTATCTTCGGTCGGTCCCTCCCGCCCTCCCTGCCTGCCTCCTGCCTGCCTGCCTGCCTGCCTGCTTGCCACATACGCACATGTATGTGTGAACGTGTCGTATAATCCTCAACAAAGAACCCCTTTGTAATGAAGCCCTGAGATTAGGCGGATCCTAATGCAGTCAGCAAGAGAATAGGGTTGAAATAAAATGCCAGCTACCGCTCTGAGCCTGTCGAATTACAGTGTCAGGTTCAGGCTGCACTTTTGGGGGTTCACGATGTGGAGTTGAAGGTTCAGGGTTAATTAATTAGGGCTCCGAAGTCTGCACGGCTTTTAGGGTTTAGGGGTTTACAGCACCAACCATGAATCCGAAACCCTACTTGGAGGTTCATGGGTAGTTATAAATAGGGTTCTAAGTAGGATAACTATACATATAACCCATCTTAGGGGACTTATAACCGTACCTATAACTACCCATGAACCTCCAAGTAGACTGGCAGCCAGGTCCCTGCCCAGCAAATGCTAGGCTCTGGGCTCCAGGGAGGTAGGGCGCATGGATGAAGTTGAGGAAGATGCTCTGAAGGTTTGCTGAAACTCCCAAACTCCTGAACCCAAAACCCATACTTTAAGCCGAGAACCCAGAATACCCAAAACCCTTAGTCATATGCTTTTGGGTTCCGGCCTCACCAGCCTTGGTCGGGCGCGTGTTCATCTCGTCTCCGATGGAGGAAAAGCCCCGGTCATGCAGGCTGTTGTAAGGAACACCATGCTCCCGAATGTACCTTGCTGGATTACTTGGAGGTTCATGGGTAGTTATAAATAGGGTCATAAGTAGGATAACTATACTTATAACCCATATTAGGGGACTTGTAACCCTACTTTTAACTACCCATGAACCTCCAAGTAGGGCTTCTAGGGCTTAGGGCTTGAGGTTTTAGGGTGTGGGCATCAGGGTCTAAGGTTCGTGTTGTCAAGCTGGGGTCATGCATCTGAGGCTACGCCCGTTGGTTCGTCCTAAAGGCCCAGACGAAGGAATCCAAAATTCGCAACCCTTCCTAGACCCGAACTGCGTGACCATTTGGCGGCGGTAGTTCGAGGATCATGATCCCGGACACCACAACCCCGAAACCCTTGCACCACAAAACCTCCAGCTTACCCCCAACCCCTCAAAGACCCTAAGCCTCAAGCCCTACTGTAGGGGCCTAAATAAATACCACTACTATTTTGCGGGTTCCTCATTATAACTACAGTATACTGTACCCCCGAAGCCCTATTCTAGTTATTAAGGCCCCTATGTTCAATCCCACGTGGATGAACCACTAAACCTAAGCCCTAAACCCTAAACCCTGAGCCCTAAACCCTAAACCCTAGGCCCTAAACCCTAAGCCTAAGCCCTAAACCCTAAACCCTGAGCCCTAAACCCTAAACCCTAGGCCCTAAACCCTAAACCTTAAGCCCTAAATCCCACCTGCGTGAACCACTAAACCTACACCCCTTCATCTTCATCTTCAGACCTGTCCTCTCCGCCACTTAGTAACCCCAAGTCCCCACCAAAGCCCGACTAAAAGTGGGGCCTTAGGGTTTAGGGTTTAGGGGTTCAGGGTTCAGGGTCTAGGGTTTAAGGTCCAGGGTTCAGGGTTCAAGGTTTAGGGTACAATAGTGGGGGTTTGGGAAGGAAATTCTACTAAATGTATAAGGAGGAACCCTCAAGAGAAGCATATCGAAATTATTCAGGCGTCTGTAGTTGTAGCCACATCCCCCAAGAGCCCTAAACCTAAACCCTGAATCCCTCAGCCCTAGAACCCTGAACCCAAAAACCCTTACCCCAGAAGACTGACACACTAAACCCTGAACTCCGTCCCCCAAACCCTAAACCCTAAACCCTTACAGCCTAAACCCCCTAAACCCTAAACCCTAAACCCTAAACCCTAAACCCTTACCGCCTAAACCCTAAACCCAAACCCCCTAAACCCTAAACCCTTACCAGCTAAACCCCAAACTATAAACCCAAAACCCTTAACCCTTAACCGTAAACCCTAAACCCCAAACTATAAACCCTAAACCCTAAACCTCAAAATATAATATAAACCCTAAGCCCTAAACCTAAACCCTAAACCCCAAACTATTAACCCTAAACCCTAAACCTCATACTATAATATAAACCCTAAGCCCGAAACCCTAAACCCTAAACCTCAAACTATAATATAAACCCCAAGCCCTAAACCCCTAACCCCCTAAACCCTTAACCCTTGGATTGCTGCGGCCCCGGGGTGCTGCCAAACCTCGGCGCTGGACCAGTGAGCCAGAGGGTTGAGCTTGATCATCCTCGGAGGATGTGGCATATGGCTTAGGGCCTTAGGGTTTAGGGCCGTAGGGTTTAGGGCTTAGGGTTTATAGGGCTTAGGGCTTAGGGTTTAGGGTCTAGGGTCTAGGGTTTAGGGTTTAGCTTTGGGTTTAGGGTTCAGGGTTTAGGGTCCATGGCTTCTTTGGATCTAGGGTTCACAAGGGCTGTTGCGGGTTAGGATTTTAGGGCTCAGGATCTAGGGTTACTAGGGCCCGGTTTAGTGTGTCGGGGTCGAGGATCTGAGGTTTATAAGGGCTTTGACAGGTTTGCTCTGTAGTGACACGAAGAAGATGGTATTTAGGGTTTAGGGTTTAGGGTTAGGGCTTAGGGTTTAGGGTTTAGGGTATCACAAAGCCCTCAGCTGACGAAGCCTTGCGCGTTTCGTGTTCGGTGTCTAAGGCTCTGTAGAGGGCACGACGGGGCGTGAAGATGAATGATCACCATAATGAATAATGACTGAAACCCTAAACCCAAAGCCCTGAACCCTAAACCCCAAACCCTAAACTGTCATGGCGACGGAGTGGCCCACCATCATACTCTGCAACTGCCAGGTTTTGCCTTCCAGGCACGCGGTTGGGGTATGCAATCTGTCGATAGCCCTCTGATAACCCTCTCATCCACACTATAGCCCTGCGCAAGAATGAATTCGTCACTTCCAGTAGCATTCCTTGTTAATATAGGGGCCTTAATGATTTAAATAGGGTTGTGGGGCACATTCTAATATATTTATAATAATTAATACTGTTTCCCCGGTTCGGGTTGCGTGGTGGGGAACCAGCCGGGGTTCATCAGACAGACTATTCGAACAAGTGCTCCGGCCAGAACTGCCGTGGTATGAGAGGTTCTTTGACTTGTGCTACAAATAGTATGTTTAAACATATCTCTTGGCTGTCTGCTCGAACCCAAAGCAAGAAGTATGCACACTGTCTACTAAGAGCCCCGCCAGGCGTTGACACGCTGTTGTTCGGGGTCTGTGAAATGCCCCAATTATGACAGGGGTTTGCCGTGAGAAAACTAAACTCTAAACCCTGTACAAACTTGAGCCTCAAATCTTGTACCTAAACACAACCCCAAAAACACCACAACTGTTCTCAAACCCTTCCGTGGAGACCTGAAGCCCCTGAGCCCTAAACCCTAGAGGCCTTATACCCGAAACCCTCACTAGCGGCCGGAATCAGAATAGGCTTTCGGTGTATAGTATACCATAACTACAACAAGAAACCCCATGGGATGATTCTGGTAAGTACAGTAACTGGGCTCTTCTACTACACCCCGAATCTGCGCTGTGCCTGTCACCACCCTGCGATCGCCGCCTCCCGGTGATCCTGCCAAGAGGTTACAAGGATTCCACAGAGCTGGGCCCTAAACCCTAAACCCTAAGCCCTAAGGATCCCACAAGGGGTCCCTTCTTTAAGGGTTCCTTTCAGGATTCCTTTAGGGATCTCTTTAAAGGGTTCCTTTAAGACTTCCCTTGAGCTATACGGCTTCCTTTGTCCCTACCTACAGGGTTTAGGTTTAGGGCTTCCTTTTGTCCCTACCTACAGGGCTGCTGCAGGCTTTCTATACGGCTTCAAAAAGTTTTCTGTAAAGGCACCTCGGCTCTTTGAAGGCCAGGAAAGGTTCTGCAAGGGCGCAACCAAAAGGTCAAAACGGGTTCTGTACGGATTCTACAAGGGTTCTGCAAGGTGTTATGTCACTTGACAAAACCCAACCCCGCGTTAAAACAAAATGGAGGACCCCTTACACAAACCCGACATTATGCCCTCAATCCTCAATGTAGATCTTAAAATAAGACCTAAGTCTGTGTCGGGTTTAGGGTTTAAGGAATCTGCACCCTAACCCCACATGAAAGAAAAAGTTGCCAAGGAGGCAGGCTGCCAGGCACGCGGGGAAAAGTCTTGCAGAGCTTTGGCTGCCGGCTCCAGTTTGGACAGCAAGCTGTACCTGGGGGTTCCGGCTGTAGGGCTCTAGGGCTATAGGGCTTGGGGTACCTGTTTCTTTGTGAAGTTGAAGATCATAATTACTTGTTTAGTTACTGTAGGCGATTCAGATTTGGCATTCAGAGATCAATGCAGGGTCCTAGGGACTAACACTAGGGCTTAGGAATCAAGCTTACGGAGGGTGTAGGAGTTGGTCCGATTGGGGCATCTTGCCCCTCGTTGTCTTCAGAAACACAGGAAAAGGGGTTCTAATGTAGGAACCTTAATAGCTGCTTTTTGAGGGTTCTTGGAGGTTCATGGGTAGTTATAAATAGGGTTATAAGTAGGATAACTATACTTATAACCCATATTAGGGGACTTATAACCCTACTTATAACTACCCATGAACCTCCAAGTACAGAACCATGTTACTAGTTGGTCAGGCCCCCCATACTTCTTCAGCCCTTGGTGCCCAGCCTTGCATTTTCCAGGGTGTAAAGACTCAAGTTCTTGGGGTTTAGGGTTTAGGGTTTAGGGGTTTAGGGTTTAGAGTTTAGGGGGTTAGGGTTTAGGGTTTAGGGGTTTAGGGTTTAGGGTTTAGGGTTTTTCTCCCAGTCTAGCCAAGCGCGAAGCCAAGGTCCTGGATCCCAAACCGTCAACAACCCTAAACTAAGCCCGAAAGCTTAGCATCTAACCCCAAGCCCTAAAACCTAAACCCAGAGAGTTACCATATCAGATATAGACCTACCCGGCTCTAACCCTAAATTTGGACATCTAGACGTTGGACTTGGCGATGTGGGGCCTTGAAACCTGAAACCCCTAAGACCTTGCATCCGCAGCCTTTAACCAGTGTGTAAAGAGTTAGGGTTTAGGGTTTAGGGGTTTAGGGTTTAGGGTTTAGAGCACCATCGCCTGTTGACTAGGACATACTCAAAGAGACGGATCCGTTCAGGTAGGCCTTCGTGCTCAGTAGGTTTAGGGCTTACAAGGTTTATATTTCTGGGGGTTTAGGGACTACCGTTACGGGGTACCCCATCAAGTAGCTCTCTAGATTATGGGTGCTATTGATACTGTGGCTGTTCATACCCTGTCTGGAACAGTAACCCCATATGCCTGGGGCATATCGTAGAAAAAGGAACACACGGACTACAAGGGTATACGACGTTCTTGAATCCTGTCTATTTGGTAACGTCGAAGGTGCATTGCCCGAAGAAGGAGTGGTGTGCTCTAGGGGAACTAAATAAACATAAACCCTAAACCCCAAACCCTAAACCCTAAACCCCTAAACCGGATACCCTCAACTAGAAGCCCAATTCGCCTTTCAAAGTCATCTCTCCAGAGCGTCGCGCCATATTTGGCGTCGAACTTCTCGCGTGCTCCGCTGCTGTCGAAGCCGAGGGGATGGTAGACGTGAAGTTTCCTTGGTGTTGGGCTTAGGTTTTTTGTTTAAGTTAGGGTTTAGGATTAGGGGTTCGGGGTTTAGGGTTTGGGGGTTAGGGTTCGGGATTTAGGCGTTTCCCTGGCCGTCCCTCTGTGCCGTGTGCTTGCTTGTTGCCGTTTGAGGCATAAGGTCGTAGGGTTTAGGATCCAGGAGGCTTGCTTGTCTCTATAAAGCTAAGGGTTTTTTGCTCTCTCAGGCTTACAGCATGAGGGTTTGCTTCAGGTCTGGGGGTTGAGATTCTAGGATGGAGGCCATCTGTGACATACCTGCGCACATAACAGGCTCCCAGTGAAGCTTTTCATAACAACACTGAAGCCATGTCTCCAACAACTAAGACACCAAATTGGGAAAACAACACACACACACACACACACACACTCTCGCGGCCCAAAGAAGCCAGAAAGCAGCTGCGAATAGTGATTCGTCACATTCGCGATGTGCTGGTAGGTCTCTGGAAACAGATGCAGCGTGTCCACGGTGATCACCGGAATCTCTTTCAGCAAACCTGCCGTCGACCCATGGACCCTGACCACTTGCCCGGGTGGAAGGGTTCAACCACAGGGATTTGTCTGAGTTCTTATATTAGGGATCCTATTAATTAGGGTACTATATTATAGGGTCCCCTATTTTCGGAAATCCCCAATTAGGTACGCCTACATGCACCGTCACAGACCCTTAGAGTAATCGAGGAACGACCTGTGCCCCGAGGCCCGTCAACATCGTATAGAAAGCGGCCAGAGTGCTTGTCAGAGGTTGCACTCTGATTCTAATCCCTAAACCCTAAACCTTAAACCCTCAGACAGTGACACGAAAAAACGTGTGTTGTATGCTCCCGGGAAGATCAAACCTGTAATTAAAGCGGATTGCGGAGATCTGGACGAGCTTGTAAGGTGTATTGGGTGTGGTTTCCGCTTGAGCCCATGCCATAAACATGATTACACCCTAAAGCCTAAACCCTGAAACCCTAAAGCCTATAAACTTTAAACACCTACGAGAAACCTCAAACCCCTATCGAGAAAAGTTTAGGGTTGGGGTCTCAGTCTCACTTGGAGGTTCATGGGTAGTTATAAGTGGGCTTATAAGTCCCCTAATATGGGTTATAAGTATAGCTATCCTACTTATAACCTTATTTATAACTACCCATGAACCTCCAAGCAGGCCTTATGATGGTTCTCAAGGCTTCACGGTGGGGTTGGGGCAAGTGTATCTGCAGAGCTGTGATGAAACGAAGGGCCTTAATTGTTTAGGGCTGAATGTACGCGTGTATATTGGGTTCGACGATGGATCCTTTAAGGCTTTGTATGCGGCTTTGGCGCACAGGATACTATGAATGTGCTCGGGTATTCTTGCATGATGAGTCGAACCCCGAACTTCTGGGGCCCACGCAACCGTGGCCCATGCACTGAACACAGCGATTCAATCCGACGCCGAGATCCTCCACCCTGAACTCCCTCATCCCATGCCGCAAGGCTTGAAACTCCATCCGAAACATATGCCCCCAACACTCCTTATGAAACCCTATAAGCCCTAACCTCCCTAAGCGCTAAACCCTAAACCCTGCAGCCGCCTAAGGAATCCATCATGTCCAGGATCACCTGGGACGAAGGCTCTCCGATTTCGGCGTGCGGAGCTTCGGGATTCAGGCAACCCTAGGGCTCCAGTTGCCCAAAGAGAAGATGACTAACTATATATATATATATATATTGTGCTACCAATTGGGGGGTATTCGGGTCTGCCATCCATCTCATTT